GGTTCATTTATCAAAACTGAAACTCCAGGGCCGGGTTATTTATCTTACTTTCAACTGTTGTTTGCAGCTTCCTTACAATCGCAGGTGCACGTGAGCGGCGCTTCTTTCAAAATCGCGCCACTCTAGAGAGTTCCTTTCAGCATTGAAAGTCCTTCACAGTTATGTTCCCTAGCTTGATCTCGCGTAGAAGTTACTTTCGTTTCATTGTACTTTAGTTAATTGCAGCGCCACCATGCTTTTGCACTCTTTCGCAAAGTCACAACCGTCTTTCTGTGTTTAGATGTATACGTTTGGTTACAACTCCGTAGAAATCACGTATTCGATCGCCAAATCCTCTATTCCGCATTTACTCAAAAACTCTCTCTCGGTCCCCTGTCGCCGTGAATAGACAAAGGCGCTGCCACTGTCTAAACCACACCTACGCGCAGAGAGTGCGAAAGCCTTTCCGAGGGTGCGTTCAACCTTGCTTTCCCTGGGCACCGTCTCCCATCGAGCGTGTCTTTTCATGAGGACCGTCAGCAGAAGTTTATTTTTAGGTGTGGTTCATCTGGTTCTTTTGTACTAACTTTCGGTTTTGTCATACGCTTTCTTGTACATGTAAACCATTTATTTACAAGTAAAACATTTAATTTATTCATATCCAATATTTTATGTTGTTCCTTGAGTCAGCTAGTGACAAACTAACGTTTACTTCACCAATGTTCAATTCATTCATTTTCATATGTAGTTGGTGTACGTACGTAATTTGTGATGTATAATGTTGTTCATGTTGCATGGCCGACTAGAAATACCTTGACCATGTCTGTGTTATAATGACTTTTCGTTAGTTAACTAAATGTGCTCCTGCCCCAGGGGACACCGCCTTGAAGTAGCACTGTCCGTGCGGGCGGGGAGACTTGTGTCATTCGTACGTGGAGCTAAAAGCCGCCGGTTAGCATGACTATTTTTCTACGCATGGACTACTGGATGAGGGTATCCAATGCCGGACAGGCCCAAAACTGAGGGGGCCCAGACTAAGTCGTGTCACACCACGTCCTATCCATCCAAATTCTAATCGTACATTCTTTCCTATCTTTTGTCCTTCCCCATAACCCGATGTGTTATTCTTATGATTCCTACATTCACTATTGTTGACATCTTTACTTTCTTGTGCCACAATCTCTCATCTATTCTATCGGTTCTCCCTTGGCCAACTCCGTGATTTTATTTTGACCCCCGACGCTATTAGTATCGAGGCTAGAAGTCTTTCTCATCTTCCTTCCTTATTCTCTTAGAGCGTAGCTAGACAGTCTTACGCGGTAGCACCCCAGAGATCCAAGTATGAATGGGCATGATTCAACAGAAAGGTAGGATTCACTACTTGAGAATTAGTTCATCCCTAAAGAGTGATCAGGGTAGGTTTGGACTCCTTAGCGTATGGTTGAAGCATCAGCCTAGGATCGAACCCTGAAATAAGAAGCTCCGGCCTCCAGTTATTGGGTTTGCTGTAAGGCACACCCCCCGCTAAAAATCACACCGCTAAAAATCTCAGTTAAATGCCTCGTGATATTTCAAAAGTAAACGAACATCAGCAAACAAAATGGACTTCTATATTGGTATATGAAATCAAAGTATATCAAATAACAACAAGAAGTAATCCAGAAATGATGAAGAAGAAACATAGATTAGCCGTCTGGTCTGAAACAAAAAAGCAAAGCAAGGGATGCAAACACGAACAACTTTGTGCCCTTTTTACCAGTGCGCCGTAAACAAACATGAAATGCCAAAGCCCGGAATTGTCTATTGTATATTAGCTGAAAGATTCGTGTAAATGTATAAAAAGTGGGAGTATATAAACGACTCTTATTAAAATAGTGTTAAAATCAGAGGAAAATAACATAATGTCATAGGAATTATATAATTGAATGATGATGCCCCAAGCTAAAGAAGATGATTTGAAATTGACAGTCAAGAAACCCTTGATGGTATTCTAAAGTCCCATGAAATAATTATTTCAGGAGAATATTTACAGGCAAGGTTGGAAGAGTCAAGAACATATTGGTCGTCAACATGGAGGAAAACTTGCAAATGACAATAACACTTTCTTCCAACATAAGATATTAATAATATACCTGGTACCAAACAAACAAAAAAAAACAAAATCTTAATTAGACCTCTGTTAACTCAAACAAAAAAAACTTCACTCAGAGTCCAAGATTATAGAATGAAAATAGAGTCCAATGTTACGCGACATTGTTTACGTAACTTCTTAAAAATTATTCATACCATTTACATTGAATAGCACAATAAAGAAAAAAGAGGATTGTCATGGAAAACCTACCAAATACAAATTTAAGCAAGTCTTTCGATGAAAGTGACGCAGTGCTCTACAGAAAAAAGGCTTGAAACTAAACTATTGTTAAAACAGGCCAAAGAAAAAGGAATATAACACATAAAAGAGTAGTATTCACAAAAGCCGCACGAGAAGGGCTCTTACGGTACTTGATAAATTAAACGAAAACAGTATTGGTGGACACAAGTCTAGAGAAAAGAATGAAGAGAAAAGAGAACAGTATTTAAACGGCTTAGTGGACAAAAACCGAAACTAAATTTACCCAGTAAAAGCCCAATAAGTAGTATAAAACAAGAGGTATATCCAAGAAGAATAAATTAATGGCTGGATAAATCAATTAGGTATAGAACGAATTCATAGGTGTAGCACGGAGCTCAGAAGCTTGGAAAGTACATTAAATCGATTAAAATCAAATAGAGAAAAAACAAATATCGCACTATCACAAACATTGGAAATCAATAAATGAAAAGTATCGAAATACTGCTTCTAGAAACAGAAAGACTTCCAACACACAAGGAAGAAAATGTTGAGCAAAGGTTAAACTGACAAATTAAATATTTAGAAAAAGCACTTAAATAATTAAATCCGATAAGGCACCTGGTCCGGGAGATATACCGGCAGAATACTGAAATATGTCCCTATAAAACTGCACCAAATGCTCAAACATGTTTTCACAGGTTGCATGAATGCGAGAAAAATCTCGGCTCAGAGTGGCGACTCTTACCTAACACCAAATTCAAAGAAAGATTCTAGAGACAATGAAAACAAACTAAGAGGAAATACGCAGTTATTGGAATCATAGTAGAACTGTATATAGCAAAATAATACGAAATAAAATAGAAGAGAAAAAAGAAAAATAGGGAGAAGAAACCAAATGTAGGTTTACTGCCGGCAGTCGTAGATTTGCATGCAGCAGGGAGCTGCAAGCAGGACTATGACGCAAGAGAAATGCCAGCATGCATCTCATGTCAATAGAGAGCATGGAGACTGAGAGCGAAGAACACGCCACAGCTGTAGAGCAACTCCGTACTAGTTATCATAAATAAATGTGCTCATAATTTCCATGGAAAATCGTTGATTTTCTCTTTGTTATAGCACACGTGCAATGTAAATTTCACACGGTATTAAAACTCCACAATCTACCAGATGAGGAATTCAGTAAAGGAGCCTAAATTAAGAACTATAGATACAGACGAAGCCAAGGAATTTTCAGTCGACCAGAAACATGACATTAAATGTACGTCACAGATTGCGTACTACCAACAATACATGTAAACGACGAAGCTAACTTACATATTGGCGAAGCAAAAGTTAAGCTGCCTGATAAGAAACTACATACAAATATTAACCGTGAATTACATTAAAAGTTTTACATGTAAACAATTTCGTCTTAGCGATTGACACAACAAAAAATATGTCAGTTTTGTTTACGTGTTCTACAACTGTATAGCTAAGCAAACACCTGTATCAGAACAGTATTACAAGTATTTTAACTTCCAATACTTTATACATGTATTTTCTCTCGCCTCACTCTCCTCTCTCGCTTCACCTCTTCACCTTGAAAATTATTATTGGATATTAACTTGAGAAGCATTAATTTTTTAATGGATTTCACTATATAACTTGAGTAATCACATTTATTTATTATGATTTTAAATTGTTCAGCGCTTCATGTAATTGATGTTCTAAATTCAATTAAAGTTAGAAAGATGCGATAATTGTGATTTACATTCACACATCTGAATAGCAGTTTATCTTCTGAAAACCGAACAAGAATGGTAAAGCGACACATGTATGAAAAAACATTCTACGACACAAGATGGAAATATTGCCAATTAGTATTTTGAACAATCTCAACTCCATTACTGTAACACTTTCTGATTTGTATTCGAAATATTAATTTCTAATTTTTCCGCAGCATGGGACGAATGATTCTATTTATAAACACTTTTTCATACCCATTGCTCTTACTCTTGAACTGCTATATTCCTGCATATAACACCGCATTCTTTACTACACCAATGTCTCATTGTTAATAGAAAAAATGGCTTGTTGAATCCCAATTGCTCATCACTTCATTTCTTTAGAACATACGCAAGGACGCTAATGGACTACATATACAGCGCTTACTGCATGACACAAACTGTCCTTACGATTAGTTTTCTAACCTCATTATCTGGCTAGTTTTACCGATGTGCGCTGTGTGTTCCGCGTATAGTGCGGATACGTGTAAAAACGATCGAGGGGTTTCCACACTTTGGTGCATAGCTAGGCCGAATTACCGCACTGTGTGGAGGGAGAATGTTCGGCGCCCGATTGCTCTGAGCTCTAAGTTTTCCGTGGGTTTCTCCGATCAATAAGCAGGCAGTTGCAATTACCCTAACGAACGATCGCCTCTCCCTCACTATTCACACGCCTATCAGTAACACTGCAGCTGCAATCCACACCATGGGGGCCAGTGGGAGCCTTAGGATTATCACAGTTGAGTTCTCCCCTGCTGACAGAGATACAGATTATACAATGCACTACACGTACGAGACTAAACTGAGCATAAACGACTTAATTGTCAACAACCAAAATAATACAAATGTGGTCTTATGTCGCTGAATGAACGCGGCGTGCCGCCATTCGCTCAGTTGCACTAGACTATTCCTGAGATCGAAGAGGCGGAGCGCACGCGGAGGCCGGGCGCGCGAGGCTAGGGGCGGAGACGGGGCGGAGGGGCGCGTGCCGCCTCCCACCAAGCTGTGCGCGCGACTGGAGCGCCAAAGCTCAAGCTGCAGCGCTCAAGAGCCGCGGCCGCCGCCTGCGCCTGCGCTTCACTCGACTACTCGCACCACTTCGGCGGCTTTCAAAGCGCGCGTTCTCCATGGAAAAAACGGTGAGTGGCCCCGCCCCTCCGCAACCCGCCCCCTCGCCCATACCCCCGTCCCTCCCCGCGCCCTTCGTGTGCCTTCTTTGTTGTTATGCCGTCCGTTTCTTTGTGTTCCTTGGATGTGTGTCTTTGTGCAACACTTTTCTGCCCCCGACCCCTTCTTTGTTCACTCGACCCACGTTGAGAGTTACGAGCAGTGCTGTACCGGAGCAGTAGGAGAAGTGCCCCAATTGACTGTAATTTTATTCTTAAAAGAATAAAATGTTTTTTTCTAAATCTCGAGCGTGTACTGTTAAGTTATATTCCAAAATTTAATTATTGCAGAACGTGCATTATTTAGAAATAAACATTGATGTTGACGTTTTCTATTTTTTAAGTGGCCATTCTCTTTCAATCAAAATTTCACTTGCACAATTCTTATACTAGATGCATGGTAAACGACATATTATTTAAAATTCTATACCATTTAATTGTGTTACATTCCAAATAGTATTCTATAGGATAGTTTGTTTAGTTTTCAATTCAGTAGAAAGGTTTTTAATCAAATTCTCTCGATGGATGTTTCATTTGAATACCAGAACTGTTATGCTATTGATTTAACATGTAATTTATAGTGTAGGACTAGGATCTTCTAATATTACATCACATTTCCTCACGACACTCATAGTTTCTGTTTAATGTAAATTTTATCTGTGGAACACTTATGGTTTGATTTTTGCAATGTTCGCGCATGTTTGTCCTTCCTGACAATATCCAAATAGAAGTGCCACCTTTGTTATGGTGTGCTGTTACGTTTATGCTGTAGGTGTCACCAATAGTACTTTGTGATTTGAGAGTTTCAATGGAAACTAATAGCTCACATTGAAGTAAGTGTTCTGCCAGAAGATGTTCACGTGACGATGTGCTTGGTTCAGTAGTAGATGTAGCTTTATTACTCTGATGTGGCTGTCACAGCAAACTGTGGATGACCTGTTTGTTGATGGACGTTCTTGTTTCTGTTGGTTATTTTCGTTATCAAATAGCTGAAGCACGCATTCACGGGGGTAAGTAAGAAGCCATCTTAGCTGTTTGTTGGTCGCGCCTGTCGCTTCGATTGCAGCTTCGTTGGCCCACGCTTTGCTGTGCTCTACTCTACCGCATCCTCATTTCTATGCATCCGCTTCAAAAAACGCTTCTGTACAAGTTGGAATCTGTAGATTTGTTTTACAGTGTTTCTAGTTTCTTGATTCTTTGCAACGCACAGTCGGCTGGCAGCATTTCAGTACATTGAATTATCATTGGGTTTGCAGAGTAAGTACATGTGCCGTGAGCCAATTACAGTGAGATGAGGTTTTAGTTTTAGATTCCATAGCGTATAAAATTGTATTAAGAGATACAGATTATTGTATAGTACTTATTACATTTTGTTAAGTAATTTGATATTGAAATATTCAACGTAGAGTAAAGAGGTAACAATAATAAAAACAAGTAGTTATGCTGATTGGTTTTAGTTTTTGTAGATATTGTGCATGAACAAATAGATTAAATAGTATAGTATTTTGTGAAGCAGTGAAATTTAAAAAATCAAACTTCATGAACACTCGTCCGAATTTATACAGAAATAACATTAACTTTTGAAATTAAATTAAGTTAAAATGAATTTCTAATAACCAGTTTTATTTATATATTTTACAATATTTTTATTTGCTATGTATAGTTTTCTTATTTTTTTAGATTTAGAATATGAAATTACCATATACATTTATTTACCTATTAAATCTATCATTATTTTATTGCTTTCATTACATATGTTGTAATGTTATGGTTTTTTCTTTTATTTATTTTGTTGTAGAACAATTTTTTTTTATTTATGGGTAACTACGAATTTAAAGCACTATTAAAGTTTTATTACTTTATGTAGGATATATTTTACAGTAGAATTGTATAGTCTTTTTTCGGATATAAAGAATTACTAATGCGCATTGAGATGAAATTATAGTCAATTCATTACAGCAAATTTTCTCTTCTGTTCTTCTCTAAAAAATAGTGGCGTTAAAACTGATTTAAAAAGAAAAATTAACATATTAATGAAAATATTTTTTGTGAGACTGTAATACAAAGACAGTTGAAATTTAAACATTCCTGAACAAAAAATTCCCCTGATTCTATCTTACTATCATTTGTGATAATTGATACTTTTTTAATATTGTTACTTTTCCTGTGTGACTGATATAAAATGCGACACAAAATCCGTCGAAAAAAGTTTCTTTTGATGGATATGATACCAATGTCATATTGTTTTAAAAATTACAATAAAAAAATTACAGATATCTCCGTATGCTGCTCAAATGAATGGTGTGAAGTCTGTGAGTTACGTGTCCTTATGATAAGAAATAGTCGTAAATTGAAATAGAAATGTTGGGTAGATAAAGTTGTTGATCTGTAAAGTTCGGTCATTTCTCTCGAGTACACGATGACGGGACATAGTTTCATTATTATTGTCGCATTCCTGCTCTCGAAGCAAACATTTGTAGTACTACGTTAGAAGTAGCAAGACTGATAGTAGATTCCAACGGTTGTATCTTTATGATGTCAGGAGAGAATGGTACATGCAAAATCACAATGAATAAACTTTCCTTTGGTATCTAATGTGAAGCTTAATATTAAAATTATTTATCGCTTTTTTAAAATAATTATAAAAATAATAAGAAGTCATGTCAGTCATGAAACACGATGTACACATTTAGAACATGATCGCTAGCGAATATAGAAGAACTAGACGAATTGCAAAATTATTGCGTAATAGATGTTAGAAAGAACACATCAGAAATTATACTCAGTTTAACTTTGGAAGTTTTCCTTTCATCAATTGAGTTTTATAACCAAAATATGTAGAACGTTGCAGTCTCCATTCGTTTGACCTGTTTGCCAAACTCCTCAGCAAAAATATTGGGCAAAATAAAGGGTAAAAACAGTGAGCTGAGGATGATAACAGCCGTTTAATTATTCTCCACAAGCAACAGGTGACCCGTCCTAAAAAAAACTGCAAAATTATATCAGTAGATACATAGAGTGGGCTGGAATATAGAATAATAATTACCTGCAATAAAGGAACAGGTGAAAAAGCAATACCACTTTACATTCGTTTGAATAAAAAACTTTTCTGAAAGTCTCACAATATCATTAAATTTTTCTATCAAAGAGTCATGCTCTCACAGACTGACAGTTAACACCAGTCTTGAGTATTGATTATTTAGAACAACAACATTTTTCGATAAAAATTATCAATTTTTATATACAATGCCAAAAACATGTTGAACGTAAATAGTTAATGAAGAGATTGTTTCCTTATATTGCTTTAATGCCATTAAAAATAACTTGTCAGTTACGATATTCTTGATTAAATTGCATTTGCAACAATTATCTCAACTGAAGTCAATTGTTTCAACATAAATATATATATATATATATATATATATATATATATATATATATATATATATATATTATATAATTTGGATAAATCGTGTATATTTGTCAACTGGATACATATTTAAGTTATTAGCGATCGAATATTAAAGTTTTAAATACTTACTTTTTGTGGTAGAAAAAGAGGTAGATATTTGGTCTATACAAGAATGGAAAGCACACAGAGCAATCAGGGACAAGAATTGACTGTCGACACACTAGCGTTACTGGTGTCTTATGAATGTATATAAATATACAATATTATTTTACTATGCGTTCATAATATTCATCGATAATAAAAATATCAGTCTTAAAATCCCCATCTTCATTTCAAAATAAGAAAGAAGTGTTCTCCGTTACTCTTGCAGTTGATAGAAATTAGTTTTGTGAATTACAATTCTTGTCATTTCAAACAAAAAAATGTTTATATTGACTAAGCAATTATTAAACACACATTGATTACATCACATTTAAAATTGAAGACTCTCGTTAACAACTTAAACAACTTGTTCATTGAAAATTAATTGCAATATAACACAAATAATATTACTAATTGTATTAGTTTAAAAAGCTTGTCGCGTTTCGTTATTTTTTTGCAAAAAATATTAATTCGTTTGATCTACGAATCATATTTCGACTGACACATATTGTATGGTATTAGTGTTTATATAATTCTATTAACTCTCATAAATAAACGTTTTAGAAAGACGAATGATTTGCTCTCTTTAAAAAACAATATTTTATATCGTGTAATGGATTTTCTTTGACTGGTTTTGTTTGTAATCCATAAACTTTAGTCTCAATATAAACGGTACTATAATGCCGTGATTTTTTTTTAATCACACCTTCTGCTGTTTTAGGTAACCAATTCCGGTAGGAGTAATCTTTTTTACTTTTAAAAACGTGTTTTAGAGTCGAGACGTCATGTATTTATTGTTTTGGGGATAAATAATGTTACTACGAAGAGTGACTGGAATTTGGGAAATCCGCAAACAATATAAGTCGAACCTTAATTGCTGAGTGGTGAGTGGAGTGCCAGGTGACAATCGTCGCGGTGGAAACTCGGGCGGAAATGAATCATCGTTCGCGAAATGAGAAATCGCAAAGACTGATTACAAGTCGGAGTTGAGGCAAAAGGAAATAAGTGGCTTTGAAGCCTGGTTTACTTTGCAGTGACAGAACTTGTGCGTTGTTTCCTACGTTGATTTATTATTGGACCTCTCTCACAATGTAGTTGATTGATGGTAAACCGGCATGAGTAATAGAGATTTCTATTGTTATCGTACGCAAACTAAGAAAATAAAAGAGAATTGTGACTGAAAAAGTTTCAAGGCGCACGTCAGTGGACGGAAATGCACTTAGTAGCAGAGAGTTATAATTTATTTTACAATAACGTAATAAAGTAGGCTGGCTTCTATACAGTGAATTGCTTATTTCTTTACGCCTCATCATTGAACTGCTCTCTACATCGATCCTGATACGTGCGTGAGTGTGAGTGCCCACAGTCTCCCTCTTGTGCCGTCTCAAATTTTAGTGTTTGCGCGAAACATTATTACGTACAACGTCGGAAGAAATATCAGTAAATCTACAAGCTTAATTTTCTTTCATAAATATTATAATCCATAGTTTAGATTCATGCATATTTTCGCGAGTACTATTTACTTAAATACGCATTTTTTTCATAATCTAGCTGGCTTTCTACTTGCATTTCACTACGATGAAAAATAACTTTTCTGATTGATAATTAAATGTAGTGGATACTGATAATGAGATGTACGTAATATTTTATCTTTTGAATACTTCACCGTCATCTTCTGTTATATATTCGCATGCATACGTGAAGCATGTAGATATGCGGAATAAATCCCCCGCAACGCAGCATGCAGGTAATCGCGTGGTGTGTCTGACGCACGAGCGGAAAATCCATTCTTCTCCAAGAAATTTGATGCGTAAAAGTGGTGATATAAACATAAGTAAGAATCTTTCGTCCCGAAAATTTATACGAAAGGTAACTACACGAATTATATTTTCGGGAAGTACCCTTTCCTACTCTGATGAGTCATTACGTTATGACCATCTGTGCTGAAAGATGTTCCTCTCAGTGAACCTGCGCCTAGCAGCGGTCAATGAACCGCGAGCTGTAAAATATTTTCCTAAATTATTATTATACGTCTGGGATTTATCTCACTATAGTCCCGCAGTTGCTCCGAACAACGTGCGACGGTGGCGGATTTCGTATTTTAGCTAGCTACAAGAAGGTAGCTAAGTCGAATTCAGCTGCTGTCTGGATTAGAAATCTGGCTGCAGGCTGCTCTGATTGGTACTGTTCCCGAGTATCTACTATCAGAATCAGGCGAATTTCGAAGTAGTTATCAACATATAAGCCACAAACGATCTTTCTTTCCTCGAACTTGCCTCTTTCAAACAAACATACTCATACATGCACTACACTGCCAGACAAGCTAGGAAACCAAACGGCAGCTTGGTGCTTGTCCCGAGTGGGCGGGGCTCTGCTGGAGGAGATACCTAGAGGCAGAAACCCCATTCAAGCCAACGTTTGGTCGTTGCCGAATCTCACCTTTCAGCGAGCGAGGAA